GCCGCGGGGGGGGGGAACCCGCCGGCCGCTCCGACGCGGTGGAGGACGCGAACTCGGGTCGCTGGAGCCGGGACCGGGACCAAGCGCCTCTGCCCGGGCGTCCGCCGCCGTCCACAGAGCCCGCCGCTGGATGGCCTCCGCTCCCCCGAGCCTCCGCCGCCAGCGCAAGGGCGAGGTCCAGGCTCGCGCCACCAGGAGACCGTTGGGAGGATTAGCGCCACCGGCCACCGGTCACCGGCCACGCGGCGGCCGGGAGTCAAGTGCTTTCACGTGAACTCTCGATGTTTTTCACTAGTTCACGCATTTGCCAGGAAACGCCTATCTTGGCAAGATAACCTGGAGGAACCTACACATGGTAAATCCTGAGGATTGAGAACTCCATTGAGAGAGACCGGAGAGGCAGACCGGCAGGAGAGGCCTCGCAGGGTCCTGTTACCTTGGGGCAAGAGGCAGAGTCCTCTGCTTTGATCCCGGAAACTAGGCCCACCCTGGCCAAGCTCACAGACTGACACGTTCAGTCACGCTGCCCGTTTCCTGCCAGGCCCACAGGCGTGTTGCCAGTGACCTCCACATTGCATTCCTTCCTCCGTTCACTCAACACGTTGATAATGCAGCACCGGTTCTGGAGTGGTACTCAGCGAGCTCAAATTCTGGTTCTGTCGCTCCTAAATGTGGCTTTGGGCAGGTTTTTAATCTCTCTAAGCCTGTTAGACTTGTGAGGATTAAACAAGAAGTATCTGGCACATGGGACTGTTCTAGCACATAGGGCTCCATAAATAACCATCGTTAATATTTTCCTTGTTGGAGCCAGCAGATGGCATAGAGGTTATGTTACTGGACTCCCACATGGCTGAAAGCTGTTCAAGTCCTGGACGATGCAACTTGAAACAGGCTGGGCACACGTGTGTGCCCAAGATCCCAAGAGGGAAATGGAGAAGGGATTGCAGCGTGGCCATCCTCCCTAGGGAGTGATCTCTCACTTTCCCTCTCACTGTCTCTGTCTCTCTTTCTAGGGAGCACACACACACTAAGGCAAAAACCTCTAAAAAAGTTTTTTTTTGGTTATCATGTGATAATCATGAAGATGGAGCAAAAGGTGACCTCATGGACTAAAGAAGGAGAGGAAGACTAAGCAGACTTGTAAGTAGACAGATACACAGGGAGCAGGACTGGTGAGGCGACAGCGTAGAAAACAAGAGCCTACCTCGGGAAGTGGGATTCGGGAGTCAGTGAGGTGCAGCATGCCGGGGGAGGAGACTAGAAGGACATTCTGAAGTATACAGAAAGGCACGAAATGAGAGACACCAGCGAGGCCTGAGAACGCTAGTTCAGCATGACCGCAGTGTACAGACAGAGCGAGGGCTACGTTTGGGAGTAAGGAAAGACAGACGCCAAGTGGAAAGCCCAAAGCTTCCTGAAACACCTCCTCTCTCTTGCCTTCCTAAGGAGAATTCGATGGAGGGCAAATGTAGGGTTTATATAACAGTACAAAGTGGGGAGTGGAGGATCTCATAGCACTGGGAAGGACACAGACAAGTAAACAGACTAGAGGAGGGGGCAAGCCCACCAAGTAGGGTGTCATCCATAGTGCCCACCCGCAGCGAGAGGAACGGGGGCCGGGGGGCTTGTAGCAATAAGGAATGTAGCAGGCACTGAGAGCCTTAACGCCGGTCGGGAGACGATTGCTCCCTGCCTTCTATTAAGGATAGGATCAAGGATGTGCCCAGCCTGACCCCAGGCCCTTGATTCTCATTCCTTCATTCCATTCTTGGTCTTGCTCAGATAGACATTTCCAGATGAATACGGTGAGGCACGGGGACGTTAGGCCACCTCACAAGCTGGTAGTGGCAGGGGCAGGAGGGTTCAGCGGCAAAGCCAGGAGGACTCT